AAAAAGTCGGGAGGACAAAACTCTGCTCCCAAAAAAAAAATGTGTAGTGTCCTCCTCTCTCGGGCAAGAAATGTGCCACACAGACCACACAACTCTCAAATCTCTCCCCCAAAATTGCTTCTGCTACGGGCAAGAAGATTGCGAGGGCATACAGGAAGCTTAAACCCTCAGACGATAGTTACTTCATCATCTGTTCTCCCTCCAAAGCTCGTGTTTCCCGAAAGCCCATCATAAATCTACCCGTCCTCAATAAACCGCCGCGTCAAATTGTTTTGTCCTCTTCCTTAGCTCCTCACTTCATTTTTGAAACCCACTCTTTCGATGTTAACCCACCCACGCCAACCTTTACAAAACTTTGTGAAGTCATTGAAACTCTTCATGCTATGGCTAAATATCGTCCCTGTAATAAAAGAAACGCCAACCGACTCAATGGTGAGATGCACCTGATTGGATTTTGACCTGGAAATGATAGGGGTAAATCTGCCGGTATGTATCTTCCCTTTTTCATTCCTTTCCATCATGTGAGGATTTTGTTATTGATCATTTGGTTCCACAGGAACTTATGCCCAAAGAACAGATCTCACACCTGCCCAATCAGCTCACGATGATACTCTTTGGGTGAAACTTCAATCATTCAACAAATTCCTTTCTCAACGGATGGAAGCCATTTCCCACAGTGCCTACCAACAAAACAAGGAGTTGATGAATAAACGTGGCATCCCTAACTGGTCTCAGGAGGAATGGGCGGAAATGCGTAAGGAGGATCAAATCGAATTCCAGTTTGCCTCGAACGTTTCTGTCACCTACAACGATTTTTACAACAAGCCGCATCAAGACAAGAAGGACATCAACGGCTGGACGTATGGTATTTTTGCTTATGTTGACCTTGAAACAGGCAAACCTATCCCTCCCCCTTCTACAGAATTGGGACATGGCTTCTTATTTCCTCGCCATGCTTACCTGATAGACTTTGTTAAGTCTAGTGGCATCATGGAGCTTGTTTGGCAAACTACCAAATTTGAACACTGCACCAGCATGCCTCCTCCATCCCTACGAAAGCAAAAGGGACGCACCTGGACACACCAGGGATGTTCTTTTCAAATTAACAAAGACCTTGCTAAAGTTGCTCAGGAATTAAAAGATGCTTCTCCACAATTTGTAGAAAAAAAAACCTTATGCAAGAAACAAAAATACGGTGCTTAATTATTAATCTTTCTTGTTTTTCTTTAAATTTTTTCTCTGAAAATTCCTTTCTTCAATGTTTAAAATGGAGTGATTTGAAATATTGCCTTGGTGAATTTGATTGGCCCAACAAGTTTTACTTCCCTGCCATGTGGAAGGCACCTAAGTCATTTTTGCATAGGCCCTAAAATCTCCATTCGTCTGTTGTGATGTGCTTCTCCAGTTGATATTCACACAATCTTTCATTTTGTTCAAATGAGAAATTACAATTCATTGTTGTTCAATTTTTTTTTCCTAACTACATGTGAGAGCTCTTTTTTTTCTTACAGTACTTTTTGTTCTAGTTAGGTATTCAAATCATCTACATTCATTCTTGGTATACTTTTCCAATCCACCTGTTCCTAGTGACCTGATTTTCTTTATTCAATTCAAACTTCATTCATTTCATCATTTAATTCTTCTCAACTCAGCAAGGAGATTTCTTTTTTTTCAACAAAGATTTCATGACAAGGGTACATTGTGCTGATACCTGAATGCTAGTGGAATATCAAAATCTATCATCAGTAAGTGTCAGGGAAATGCATCAATGTCCCTTTTCAACACTGGCATCTGGCTGGCCATGGAGAGGAGGTGTACATCTTTTGATGGGTAGGCTTCCACTTTGAGTGACTGAGGATAATAAGCTTGGTGTAAAAATTGAGTCAAGGTATATAGCTCACTGAAGGGAGCTTGAGGAGTGGCAATCAAGACAAGTTGCAAACCTCCAGCAAAGGGTTTGGCAATCATGTGTCAAGGTTGCAGGATTTTATTCCTCATTGACAGATTGGACAACTGTTTTCAAGAGGACATGTATGCCAGCTGAATAACCCCTATGACAATTTGTCATAGAGGTATTTATACCTTTGAAAACCTGTCATCAGGAAAATTCTTTGAGAGGAGATGACCACCTTTCAACTGGTAATTGACTGGTCTTAATGACTTGTTGTGCCAGTTCATCTTGCACTTGAGGTCATGAAGTTGAACTGGTGGTACCACTGACTCATTGAAGCTGGTTCCAAATCTATCAAACTTAGTTTGGTCTGAGGGGGGTGTGGTTTGGAACCCATTTGGTACTAATGGTATACTCCATTTGCAACAAGTATCTGGGGCTTATGAGTGCTTGTTGGGGTTGCGTGCAGGCTTTTATTGGTGGACTAGGTGCCAAGTGATTTTACACATACACATTTACTAAATCAAGTTCCACAGAGATTTTCAAACATTGTGCCAATGAAATTTCCAAGCTACCATAAGCTTTCCTCTGTGTTCTACCAAATTTCATCCCTCAAGTGATGTTTTGTCTTCCAGTTTGATTTTTCTCTCTTCATCCTTCAAGGACAAAACAAATTGAAGCTTACCAGGATGTATCATGTTTTTTTGGACTGTTCAAAAAAACTCAGGTTCAAAAGCCTACTTTAACTTGAGCATCAATTTGAAATCATTGCTTTTGTTAGCCCATAATCATTTGATTCTGGTTGATGCCTCTTCCTGAAAGTATGAAGTGTATTATTAAATAGAAATATTAATAATAAAATTAAAGTAAGTTGATAAATCTTCAAATTGATATGTGGGGCACAGTGCCTTTTTATTCATTGATATCCTGTCTATAGCAGCCATGGTGTGCACTGTGATCAAGATTAAAAATCTGCACACTACATAAAATATCATGGGGACAAACATTGGTTTAGTGGACTTTGCCAAGGGGCAAACTTTTTTAACACAATTCCTGCACAATTTAAAGTGTGGTGCCAAGGTTTTCTTGGCCTTGAATTGTTTAAAAAATCAGTTATACAAGGGAAAAAAGGAAGGAAAAAAATGAATAGAGAGAAATAAGATCACAGATTGATAAATTGTTAAAGATTATTTCTGGTGTAGCATTAAGAATGACAAAGAGAGAAATTGAAAGAGATTTATTCTGTAAAGTTTTAAGTTTAAATCTGAGTCTTGAGTATCCTGAGACTTTGAATCCTGAATTTAATTGTCATAACACCACATCTCCTACATATATCCATATATCTATCAGGCTTTCCTTGATTTTCCAACTTTCCCCAACTGAAAAAATCCTTTACACTAACGATGGCCCCTCACACTGGTCACTCAGGGGTTTGATTTAAACCTACAGGTTCATGGATATGTACTTCTATAACACTTCAGCAGAAGAGGTAAAAATTCACCATTCTCTACAGAGCACATTTGTGTGAAATTGGTACTGCACTTGTACAGATCACACTGCAGTGACATTAGCACATTTTCACCACCTTGTGTTTCTCTTACACACACTTCTGCCTTCAAAAGTGTGTGTAATATCTGATATTTGATGAAAGGTACCTCTTAGGGCATTTCAGGGAGCTAGCTCTGATCAAAAAGGTGGTGGTGCAGAACACTCCCATTTTTTTGCTTTAATGACAGCAATGTATTGCTGTTTTGCATTTATTTAGGTGAGTTTAGTATCAAAAAATTTGCAAACACTACTAACAGAAACAAAAGAGGCCAGACACTAAGTGGTTGTTTGCAGCTGCTCCAGATTAGTATCATTTGAAGATGAAGTTAATTGCCAATACTCATTGTAGCAGTAACAGAACTGCTTGGCAAACTGTTTCCTCCATCAAAAACGCAAGGATAAGCTCTTTATTAAAAAAAACTCCCTGCTGGATGTGTTCCTGGTTAATTTTGATTTAATCCTGTGAGCTGAAGAGGAATTCAGTTGGTGTTTTGCCTGACAAAACTTTCCAAAAAACATTATGACAAGTATTACTGACAAGCCAGGAAAATCATTCAGTGCAAAAGGAAATACTTGTCATAGTACAAATCTCTGTACAAAGTCTAACAACAACATCTATTTTTGAGGATTTTTATTTGAATTGTTAAAAAATCCCACCTTGACCATCTTCAAGTGGGTCAGCTTTCTAATATGGGAGTGGAAGAGATACCTCACAGAGAGAGCAGATACTTTGAATGCACATACTCTTTCATAGATCTTTTTCCACATCAGAAATTCAGTATATATAACCTTGTTTGACCTGGAGCTTTGAGTAGGACCACCCTAATGTAGGCAAAATCCCTCCTTTTTGATATCTTAAACTTCAAATCTGATTTTTCAACTGGAAGGGATGCCATCAGAAAAGTTAATTGTTCTCATTGACTCCTGACAGTCTATCCAGGCTCTATGTAAACCTTTCAAATTTAAGAAATCTAGAAGATACTATATTTAAGTCTCCTGGTCCCTACTTTCAGACAAATAAAATTTCTCTTGTCCTCTATTACATGAGTATAAAATATTTTAAGGGCATCATTTTTGATACTCCTAAACCTGTGTACACTTGCTTCATGATTATATTTACATTTCTTTGCCTTCAAGGCCCCTCAATCCATTTACTTGGTCATCTAAGGATCATACATGCTTGCTAATTATTTTGAACCATGAGCTGACCTGACTACTTTGAAGGCCCCCCCTCAAAATTGTTCCTGTGTTCCAAATACCAATTTATCCCAGTCTTTCTTAATATTGGATGTGTTCAACAAGCTAGTGATCATTCTTGAGAGTAATTCAAGTGTGGATATTTTTAGTACTGAGTTCAAGTTGCAGCACAAATGAGTAGGTTTTTGATGCTCTTTTCATACTTCCTCTTGCATATACAGTGAAGGCTTTTTCTGATAGATTACTGTAATTTTTGATGGTGATTACCCCTCAAATGAAATCTGACATCAGGTTCAACATGGAATACTATGTCTAAGCTCTTTCCCAGCAGTTATAACATTGAAAGAAATAAATTTACTTCAGATGGTAACAGCTTAAATAAACTTGTATTTTAAATATTATATTACATCTACTGAAAATTACTCAATTAAGCTGTCTTCTTGAAAAAGTTGAAAAATTGGCTCCTTTCAATCACATCTTCTTGGTGTCTTGAGATCAAATCACGATTTATCTTCAAGTTTGTCACAATTGTCACTCAGAGTCAACTTCAAAAACACCAATATCACACACTACTGACAGGCTCATGTTTCAGTTTTTCAACTTCCATATAATCATCCTTCAGGAAAAGTCCATTTGCTCTAGAGTTGAGGTCCTTTTTTTATGTTTTAATTTTGTTAATTTCTCATCCAATTACATCACTCCTTTTACAGAATTCAAGGCCACATTCATTTTCCTTTCATTCACAATACTACAACTTGGCATCAAGAGCCATATGGTTCATTTAGCCCTCACCCCACATCAATTTGTTTATGATCAAGAATTTTAATAAAAAATAAATTATTCATATGAAAATAAATCTCAAATTAATCAGGTTCACAGAATATTCAATCTTTTTTGACCTGCACTGATGTTTGAATGAATATCATGATAAAGCAAAAATGTGTGATTCTAACACAAAGCAATTCTGTGATTTCTTCCTTGCACTGGGGGAAGGATTCTTTCCCATGGATTTAGCTTTCAATTCAAAAAGATACACATGAGTTCAATTGAATAACTCATGCAGTAAAAAATGTGATACACCAGCTATATCTGGCATTCAACTCAGCAGTCTCCATGATCCAACAAGCTTTTCTAAAACAATGAATGAAAATGAAATGAAAATTGGAGCCTCCATATATTTCTGAATCAACCTGTTTCTAATAAAATTGATAAATTTAATTTATCTCCTGCACCTGTTGCAGTTTTGAAATTGAAATTTACTTGAATTTCTGTCCTGAAAGTTAAATGAGAGAAAGGTGCTACTCCTGGTAGAAAAATTTTGAGAAGCCCTTTTTATTTTATTTTTTCTGATATCTTGACTATGATGAAAAAATCATTCAATTAATTGTATCAGAGCCCTTGTTTATCCAACCTTTTTGGTTGATTTTTTCACCACCATACAAGCTCACAAAACTCAATTTTTAAATAATTCAATGATGGGGGACCTGGGTTGGAAATTTTGCATGTTCAAATTTCTTATCTCCACTAACTACACTGATGTGTGCTATATTGAATTATTTGATATCTAGTTTGACATGTGGCTATGGCTTTGAGAAAAATGTGTAATCAGGTAGTTTTTTCTGAAATCCACAATCAAAATGCTGGAAATAATTTCTTTCCTCTCTCTTATTTGGAATTTGAGAAACTGTTAAGTCAATCAGGTATGTTTGATAAATTTCAGTAGATTTGTCAATATTCTGTGTGTGTGCATTGGGGGGAGGAGGGGTGGCTCAGGGTGAGAGACATTAGATTCCTCACTTTTGAATTGCATTTCCCCATATGTGCTCCAATCAACAAGACACCACTGACCTATTTATTTCCTGTTCCAAGTAAATACTTTCATGTGAATCAAAAGATCATCTTAATTTTCATTGGAAATATATAGTCTGATTGGAAAAAACTGCTGTGGAATTTACCTTGATGATGAGTGATGTCAGGACATTAATTCAAGTGTTGCAGAAGTGTTTTGCAGATAGTGGCAATATTGAATTCAAATAAAGGTCATGGCATTATACAGAAATTATAAATCTGTTTAAATACATCCCAGTTTGATGGTACATCCACCCTGGGCATGAGTAAGTGACAAAGGATAAAGTTGAGATCTAGATGAGATATAGTGAGAGATACAACCTTTGGTTGTCCTGATTACAACACAGATGGATTTTGAGATATCCAGGGGATACAGCAAAACCACCCACTATTGGGTGCCACATCTTTTTTCCTGGTGCTTGGAGCTGCAGTTCCTGCGGAATTGGACGGTGGTCTTCCTTGACAACTCGTTGGACCGTAACAAGGTATACCATCTCGCCCAGGAAACCTTTGGCCAGACTTCCTGTTGGTTATTGATGCCCCAAGAACTCCCTCTCATCCACTACCCTGCTCACCACTCCCATCAGATCGGAATCGGTGCCCACCCCAACCTCGGCTCCTTGATTGATAATTGGTTCCTGATGAGTGTCGACATCGACGTCCCTACAACGCCCTTCTTCCATCCCGACGAACATCCGCCTCAGAACCTCGAGGCCCGCTTCGAGAAATTCTACAAACCTTTGATCTACAATCACTCGGAGATTCTGAATTCTGCTCCCAATCTGGACGTCTTTAATTCCGGCCTCTGGGATCTTGTGTTCCTCTCTAATCGCAAAGATTATCAAATCAATCAGAATTGCACTCAGGTGATCATGTCTAAAAACCAAGTCACAGGCCACAAGCTGCTATCGAAATCGGAAATTGAACTGCATTCGAATTGGATCAAGAAGTTCTTAAACTCTTCTGCTTCTTCTTCTTCCATCTTGTTGTTGTACATTGAGCTTTTTTTTTCCTCCGTTTGGTACAATGGGTTTGTTTATCTTACTTTCAACTTTTTCTTTCTGTAAAGCATGCCGTGAAATTCTTACTTTCACTTGTGATTCCAATGTTTCCTTTTTTTTGGTGGTGGATAGTAATGGACCCTACATAAGTGCATATATATCTTAACCATATACATACATAAACCCTTCTCAAAAAGAAACAGTGAACAAAACAACATCAAAATCAGGAGATACAACATGGTAAGAAAAGAAGCAGGAATTGATCAAGTCATGATTCATATAAGGAAGCCAAAGAAACTGATGTGATCATGGGGGGTGCAAGTTGACAGTTGTTGATTGAGATCTTTTGTGTCTTTTTATCCAATGCATTTATACACTCAGTGCTCTGCAATATGTATAAAAAACCATACAACAAAACTAACATAGTTGTTGTTCATTAGCCAGGTGATGATTGAAAATTTATCAAATTTTAAAGCCCATTTTATGGTGTTTACCAACAGTTTTCTCAAGTTTTAGAAACTTGTACAAATTGATCAGAAACCCCAAATCTCTCCAACTTACATACATAGTTTTTTTCTTTTTTTTTTTTATCCAATGCATTTATAAGCTCAGTGCTCTGCAATATGTATAAAAAACCATACAACAAAACTAACATAGTTGTTGTTCATTAGCCAGGTGATGATTGAAAATTTATCAAACTTTAAAGCCCATTTTATGGTGTTTACCAACAATTTTCTCAAGTTTTAGAAACTTGTACAAATTGATCAGAAACCCCAAATCTCTCCACCTTACATACATAGTTTTTTTCTTTTTTTTTTAAAAAAAAAAAACAATGTTGTTGCTATGTAAAGGCGTTGAAATTGGATGGCTTCCTGTCAGCATTCACAACCCTTCATGATCAGGAATTTGATTGCATACACCCCCAATTACATAGGTCTTAATTCTAAGGCCAAAAAAAACTTTTCAGTGACAGAAGCCAGCTTGTTGAAATGGTGCCCATGTGAGCTGGTTGTAAATTTTGATTTTAGAGTGTTATTGGTAATAATCTAGAGCTGAGAGTGGTCTGAAAAAAAAGCCAAAAAAAATTTTAAAATCAGAATGGGAAGTGCTCCGCTGTGGTCATCATTGATGGATTAACCAAAAACTGGTGTTGTCCAGGATGGCAAGTATGCTGGGTGATAGTGTAAGCAGTCTATGGATGATTTGCAATTTTTTTTTATTTTCTCTGGAGAAGTTGGATGAATGAAAACTAAGAGGATGAAGTGAATGAATATTCTCAGACCAAAGCCATAGATCGGAGCCTTATCACAGAGTGGAAGTTTCCTGGATGGAGGGGCCAGTCACATCATGCAGATGGACGCTATCCCTTTGCTCGACTTTGACCAGGTCGAGAAAGATAAACTGGCCTTGCAGGTCCATTTTAGGATGAAGAGAGATCCCATCTTGGAGCACTTGGAGCAGATGGGCTTGGAAGTTAAAATCCCTCCCAAATGGACCTTTTATAGTTGAGCAGTTTTGCGGAAATTAAGTAAAATAAAGTCAAAGTTCTTTTACCTTATTGTACCTTTTTCACAATTTCAGTTTGGTATGAATAAAATTGTATTTTTTTGTTTGACCACATGTGTTTCCATGGTGACCCTGAACAGACCCAAACCCCTGGAATCAAACATAATCCCAAAAACACCCTTCACAGAGCTGACAGAGCTCTATCCAAGAGCTGACGGAGCTGGCTTGGGGAGCCTACTAAGCTGGAAGAGCTGATTGAGCTGAATGAGCTGGAGGGTCCGGCGGATGCAGAGTGAGGAGCTGGGTCTGGGAGCTGACTGAGTGGGGTCCAAGAGCTGGATGAGCTGAGTGAGCTGAATAAGTGGGGTCCCAGAGATGACCAAGCTGGGTCCCAGAGATGACTGAGCTGGGTCCTAGAGCTGACTGAGCTGGGTCCAAGCTCTCTGAGCCCAAGAGCTGACTGAGTGGGCCGGGTCCCAATTGAGCTGGGTTGGAGAGCTGGGCCCAAGAGCTGACCAAGCTGGTCCGGAGAGCTGGGTCCAGGTGCTGACTGAGCTGGGTCCCAGAGATGACTGAGCTGGGTCAAAGAGCAGGATGAGCTGGGTCTAGGTGCTGAGGGAGCTGGATGAGCTGAGTCAGCTGACCAGCTGGTAAGTGAGCTGGGTTGGAGAGCTGAGTGATCTGTGTCCAAGGGCTGGATGAGCTGTCTACGAGAGCTGACTGAGCTGGCTGGGACCGGGTGCTGGGTGAGCTGATTCAGAGAGCTGGGGGAGCTGAGTGATTTTGCAGCCACAGGTGTGACTGACCTGGTTGCAAGAGCTAGATGAGCTAGTTCAAAGAGCTGGATGAGCTGGGTGAGCTGAGTGAGCTGGGTCCGGGAGCTGAGTGAGCTGGTTCCAAGAGCTGAGTGAGCTGAGTCCGAGGTCTGGATGAGCTGAGTGAGCTGGATGAGCTGAGTAAGCTGAGTGAGCTGGGTCCAAGAGCCAGATGAGCTGATTCAGAGAGCTGGATGAGCTGAGTGAGCTGGGTCCGGGAGCTGGATGAGCTGAGTGAACTGAGTCCGGGAGCTGGATGAGCTGGTTCCAAGAGCTGAGTGAGCTGAGTGAGCTGGTTCCGAGAGCTGGATGAGCTGAGTGATCTGGGTCCGGGAGCTGGATGAGCTGAGTGGGCTGGGTCCGGGAGCTGGATGAGCTGAGTGAACCGAGTCCGGGAGCTGGATGAGCTGGGTCCGGGAGCTGAGTGAGCTGAGTGAGCTGGGTCCAAGAGCTGACTTGAGCTGGGCCCAAGAGCTGGATGAGCTGGGTGAGCTGGTTCAAAGAGCTGAGTGAGCTGAGTGAGCTGGTTCCAAGAGCTGGATGAGCTGAGTTAGCTGGGTCCGGGAGCTGAGTGAGCTGGTTCCAAGAGCTGAGTGAGCTGAGTCCGAGGGCTGGATGAGCTGAGTGAGCTGGGTTGGAGAGCTGAGTGAGCTGGGTCCAAGAGCTGACTTGAGCTGGGCCCAAGAGCTGGATGAGCTGGGTGAGCTGGTTCAAAGAGCTGAGTGAGCTGAGTCCGAGGGCTGGATGAGCTGAGTGAGCTGGGTCCGGGAGCTGAGTGAGCTGGTTCCAAGAGCTGAGTGAGCTGAGTCCGAGGGCTGGATGAGCTGAGTGAGCTGGGTCCGGGAGCTGGATGAGCTGAGTGAGCTGGGTCCGGGAGCTGGATGAGCTGAGTGAGCTGAGTGAGCTGGGTCCGGGAGCTGGATGAGCTGAGTGAGCTGGGTCCAAGAGCTGGATGAGCTGAGTGAGCTGAGTCCGAGGGCTGGATGAGCTGAGTGAGCTGGGTCCGGGAGCTGGATGAGCTGAGTGAGCTGGGTCCAAGAGCTGGATGAGCTGAGTGAGCTGGGTCCGGGAGCTGGATGAGCTGAGTGAGCTGTGTCCGAGAGCTGAGTGAGCTGAATCCGAGAGCGGGATGAGCTGAGTGAGCTGTGTCCGAGAGCTGAGTGAGCTGAATCCGAGAGCGGGATGAGCTGAGTGAGCTGGGTCCAAGAGCTGAGTGAGCTGGCTCGGAGAGCTGGATGAGCTGGGTCCGAGAGCTGACTGAGCTGGGTCCAAGAGCTGACTTGAGCTGACTGAGCTGGATGAGCTGGGTCCAAGAGCTGACTGAGCTGGCTGAGCTGAAAAAATTGGGCGAGCTCAGCTCCAGCCATCTTCCATTCCAAATGGAAGATGTGTGCATCAGTTTCCTCCATTTGGCATGGAAGAATTTTGAAGCCAAACCTCAACAGATACCCAGAGACCATCTCTAGTAGCATCTGGAAACTCCCGTACATTACTTTCTGCTCTGGGCTGAATCCCAGAGAAACCAGATTAAAATCAGTAGAATAATCAAGGCTTGAGGGAAGCGGAGGATGTGCTTGGAAAATTCAAAACACCCAAGAATATATTTTGCTACCAAGGCAATTGACTATAGTTCTCTAATCTGGGCAATCATCCAGCTCAGTGGTCCTGGAATTTGACAGGGGCTTGAATAGATGAGCAGAAATTGTTCTTGTGGGTTTCTCCAACTGCAAAGTGTATTTGTTGCTGGAGGATACCTTTAAGTGCTGAGGGGCACAGGGTTGGATAGTTTGGTGACACAAGGAAGATGATGTTGATATTCAGTGAGTACCCAGACTGGGAACTGAGCATGAGTTGAACTAAATACACCACCGCAAGTACAACTATAGTAGAGGCATATTGCATATGTATGTAAGCATATGTGAGTATTCTAACATTAAGGAGCTTGGTAAATCATGTTGCTTGAGAAACAAGACTCCTAATATTGCTTCTGTCCTCAGGTTTTGGGCCTGACTGGAATTGTAGATGGACCAGCGCAGCAGTATGGACATGTGTTAAATTGATCAGAATCATTTTGGTGTAAGTTGGCCACTCTTGCAGGACAGCTTTGCTAACCGCTGCTGGTACCATCTGCTGAATCCTGAGACTTGCATGAGCTTAACATAAGCCTTGCAATTGGAGGGTCCCAAAGGGACCCTCTTGTAGCAACCTCCTTGGAGAAACCTTGTGTTAAGTTTCAGCTTGCTCCGGGATTGGGGAAGTGAGCTGACTGAATCCCAGGTCAAAATTGTCAATGGAGGGATGGAATTAACAGCCCTCAAGGGATCCCTTTACCAACAAAACCAATTTGATGCAAGTTTTATTTGGCTAGCCTTCACCAAAGGACCCCCCCCCCTCTCATCCTCTTGGCACCAGGTATCCCTGGGGATACCCGGATATCCTCCGGGATTTCACGGAAAAGGGGGCATCCGCATCCACTGGTGGATAACGGGTATCCGCAATTGATACCCAGAGGCCATCTCTAGCATATGCCAAAAAAAGTTTGAAATTGAACAAGTACTTTAGTGAGCCATATTATGGACTTATGCATGCGTTTTGTGTAATTATAGATGAATAACATGTACTCGTAGTATGCATAACTTTTGAAGCTATATTTTAAGTGCATGGTTAAAAAACCTGTTGAGAAATAACCAAGAGAAATATTGGATCTGAAGCTATCCAGTCATAATATGCACGTCCAGCAGTGCACTCTTTGATAGCCATTGGTGATTGTGCTTGAGGACTGTTCTTTGAATTGTTTGGCAATTTCAGCTCACATAAAAGATGAATCTTTACAGTGCAACCTATGTATTGAAACACCAATTATTATGTATTTACAAGAATTTGAAAGGAGATGAACAGGTTTTTAACACTCTTGGGTACCTAAAGACAGGTTTAAATCCTGAAAGGCATACACATAAGAGGATTTCAACCTTGGAACGGGTCCCCAGGATGTGGTCTAGGACTTGTCTCATCAGTTTCCATTTATTCTATAACCTGATCTTGTTTTCTTTAGCTCTGTTTTTTATCTTTCAGTAATTAATTCAGTCAGTTTATTAGGGGGTTTCAAAGTTGATTTTTGAACAATGTTGTACAGTGGGTAGACAGTGAAAAGTGGCTGCTTATATTGGATTCCAGAGCTCCAAAACACAAACTTGAAGTCATGAGACTTGTTCAGGTGGTGGATAATAGGTCCCAGAAAATGAATATGAAAAAATAAAAAAAAATTGTGAAAAATAAAAAATAAAACTGATTTTTTTCAAAAGCTTTGATATTCATTTTGGGGGAGTGGGAGTGCTGAGAGAAAGAAAGATTGGAACATGGGAAGAATGATTATAAATGAAAAAATTGGAACCAAAAAAGGTTTGGCTAGGTTGGTTGTCCATATTGGAGCCAAAATAGTAAATTCTAGTGCTTTACTGCAATGTGGGCTGGTGAATGCCCACTCAACAGCTGTTTCAAGCCATCTGGAAAGCAATTTTTCCAAAATTTTCATTCATAATCACTCTTCTAGTATCCCAATCTTCCTTTTTCTCAGCACTCTCACTCCCCCAAAAATTAAAATGAATTTCCAAGCTTTTGAGAAAAATAAATTTTATTTTTTATTTTTCACAAATTTTGCAACTTTGGTTTTCGTTTTCACTTTTCCACATTCATTCTTGAGAACCTTTTCTGCACCATTTCATCAAGTCTCATGACTTCAAGTCTGTGTTTCAGAGCTCTGGAATCCAAAATCAACAGCCACTTTTCACTGTCTACCCACTGTACACAATGTCACAACATCATAAATTTCACAGAAGTTTTGATAAGTGTTCCAAACAAAGAGCAATTGTAAGTTTCAGAAAACTGAAATTTTGAACCTCTTGAGCTTATGAATTTGTGCAGAATGCTGTTCAAAAATCAACTTTGAATACCACTATTTAACTTCCCAAAACACTCTGGAATATGGCCATGTTCTTCAATGAAGGGGCATTTTTTTTAGAAACCATGGGTGGGTGCCAAAGACAAACAGGTTGCTAGAATTGAAATTTGAGTTGCTAACTTGGGGTCTAATTAGCAACCACGTTTTATCTCCCGCATTGCAGATGCTCTAATCTTCTGACTGTTGTAATTTTTTCCACTTTCTAGCAGCTGATTTGTGGATGATGTGCGCCACTTAGGTTTCTGGCATAGCTGGCACATTTATATGTGAAAATTGCATTAATCCCTGACAAAATGTAACATTTTTGACCAAATCAAGGACACTGATAGAAACAAAACAACTTGAAATATCTAGATTTGTAGAGCTCAATAAATCATAAAAAAAATTGACCAAAGTTCAAAATATGTATAGATGATGTGCAGTGGTTTAATAAATGCAAAATTATTGAGCTGAATAAAATTTCTTTACCCACTTTCTGATTTTGTGGAGTTTGGTGTGAGAATTAGTAATTAGTTTAGATTGTTTTGAAATATCTTGAAGTGGATCTAATGGCATGCTCCAAGGGATTAGGGCCACAAATTTGACATTTGGTAAGTAGTTCTTCTGATAAGCTCCAGGCCTTCTGTAGTAGAAGAAGGCGGAGCTTAATTTCAAAAATAAGCCAAACGCGGTTTGATCGTTGTTGAATATTGTATGCCATTTATGGTAGTTTTGGTTCTTGTAATAAAGTCCTAAAATATTCACCACGATTTCTGACATCATCATGTCCTCATTTGATATCGCTCTAAATGCCCGGGGAGCCTTAACTTGACTTGAATTCCTCACTTTGTAAATCTTTTCTTTGTTTGACAATAGCAACCAATTCCCCACCAAGTTTGCGAGTTTTTGGTCTGGGGTCTCATCGACCATTCCTTCCCCTTGATAAGATAACTGGCTGCTCAAGTTTGATCGCGTGTTCTTCCAACGAGAGAAAAGGAATAAACAGAAAGATTGAACTAATTTTTGCTCTTGAAAAAAGCTATCTTCTGGATTCTTGCAGCCCATTGCTTCAAGAAAATACGTATTAATCGTCCAGAGAAGGTCGTTCAGGCTTGCTAATTTAACTGCTACCCTGTCCATGTAAGTGGCTTTCAGCTGAGTTTCCTGCACTTGATTTGATTTTTCATTGGCTACATGTTCAAGATAATTTGCTGCACTAGTTATCAGTTCTGAAGTCGGTTTAAAATCTTCGGGTGGATTGTCCTTTCTTCTTGATCTGAAGATTGTGATCCATGCCCACAATTCTGGCTCTTGAGCCTGCACAAGAAATGCTTCCCGGATCTGAAATTGAGGTATTCCATCTTGATCTAGCGACATAATTGGACTTGGTGCAGTATTGTGTATAACCGGTTTAACCCATCTCTTTAATCCATCCAGTTGGCCATAGAAATAATGGGGCCCCAGCTGTAAAGGTTCTGGAGGATAAGGATCGCTCCAAGGAAGAATACTTCGGGCGCTTCTTCTCATGAGTCCATCCCGAAATACTTGCGACTGATGCCCAGCCACACGGGATCCAAAATGAGCTATGAGGTTTACAAAACTATTATCGTCTTCAAAAATGTAGCACCATTTCTCATAGTTGACATCTTTGTAGTAGGAACCCAGAACATGAACAACAGCTTCACACAAAACTACTTGTTTCTGTAAAACTAAGGTCGGTTTCTTTGTTACTCTTTTTGAGCATACTGTGAATGCGTGTCCGCCTTCATCAGACTGTATGGCTTTTAACAGCATGCGATATGGTGAGCGCTTGCGAATTCCATCATTTTCTGCGCCCGTCAAGCTCAAGTGTTGTGGAGTCTGCATCAGCTCAAAAAACCACTTCATCAGATCGTTTTGTTGCTTAGGATAGTTAGTGGTTGTCTTCTTCGCCCCAAGCATTCTCAGCACCCGATAATTCAAAATCCACAAGAGAGAGGTGAACTCGCGAAGTCTTTGTTGAAGATGAGTTGCGTGGTCTGAGCTTTCACCCACGATTGAACTCTGACTTGAAGAGCGATCAATCCGTGCTAGCCAGATCAATTCCAACGTGGGTATTAAAGGTTCAACGTATTTTTTCAATTCCTTAGTTAGCGATTTTTGAACAATTTTCTTATACATCAAAATCCAAGCCCAGACTTCAGCATGCTCGACCTTGGCATTGAACTCTGTGAGCACCTTTTGATGTTCGGATCGACCGGCTTGGTCCAAGTTGATACGACTTTCCCTATTCGTTACAAGCCCTTGATAAGGTAGCACCGCTTCCTGAGATCTTTCTAACGCAGTTTGATCTTGAAGTGGGTTTGAAGCGCCAACTTCAGTAGATGTGACTTGACGCGTGGCGATACCTGGTGCATCGATGGTGTATTGATTCGCAGACTGGGAACTCCCCATGAGCCGATGAGATTCGGGACTCGAGCTTTTTTCTGGACTATCAAGATGGTGCCCGCTCGCTTGGACGTCCGTCACAATATCCATTGCTTGTTTTCCTACCGGAGGTGTTGTCAGTCCAGGAAAATCTGCAAAGTCTAACTAACCAGCTGGTCAGTTTTTTTGTATCTTTTGTTTACTCTTGCATATTTTTTTATTTTATTTTATCTCAGCAGACATGCTGGTTGATAAGCTCTCACAGTAAGATTTCCAGGGGGTTGGAATGTAGGCTCGGATGAATTTACCATTAGCTTGCCATTGTTGAGCGGGCAGCCGCGATGAACCCTGTGAGCTGATCGGCTCTCTATTGGGCGCTGACTCGGGGCTGCGTAGGTATAAATCTAGGTCGAGCCCCAACCTCTGCTTCTTTGAAACTGGTTGGGCCATTTCAGCATTATCTTCACCTGGCCGAGCGTGCGATGACAGCCTTTCCCCGATTTCATTACCGCCACTCCTGCCCAAATCGCCTTAAAACTCATGACATTTATCAGCGCCCTAAACGATGCTCTGAGTTAGACTGTCCTCCATTCGTATTCCGTGCTGCGGAAAAGCTCACCAAGAAGATCCAATGTTTGCCGTATGGGGCTTGATTCTGCCGGTGGGTATGAGAAAGGCCGATCTGGTTGAAAATGCGACGCGCTCGGAAATAGAGGTGATGCTGACCGGTGCCAACCAGGGTCATACCGTATGTTTAGACCTTGCGAGATGGCTTCAAATATAGCTGGCCTTGGTTCATACATCACTGGATCTTCGATCGGAGGAATGTTTGATGGTGAGGTTGCTGATAGGCAATATCCTTTGCACAAGATCAAGATTATCAACTTCAATGAGGTCTCCATTGCACAGCTGAGGTAGCAATGGGAGAATTGTGCGATGGTGGTGCAGTTTTCCTACAGGTCTGGGATGGGCATTAACACTCGGTTGTGTCGTCTTACATATATACTTGCTTCCCCTGACGGGCCTTCAAGAGATAGATCCAGTATGGACTACATACTCATCCCCGTCGCCTGAGGGGTTGAAACCAGGCCGGACCCACAATATGAATTGATGGTAGCAACTCACTTCTTCTCTGCAATCTCAATACTTTGATCCACGAAGCAGCACGAATGACGATAAGAATTTATATCTTTAGTGGTTGTTTTACGCTGTCTTGCATGCTATTCCTATTTCCTCCAGCTATGTGTAAGAGAAACATCTGTTTCAAGGTCGGAATGGCCGGGTTTTGATCTATCACAGTGTAGATCATGACCACCAGCTTACGGAAACTTGCATCTGAAAGCTGTTGTCTTGGATGTTTTGACCTGTGTGGGTACTGTTGTATGTATGTATGTGTGCAGGATCCCACAATCTACTACTAGAAACTTCACATTAAACACAAAATCGGGTTGGTGGTAAAATGTCTCGTCAATGGGCGGGCAAGGCGTCATCGGAACCCGGGTGGCAAGTCCGCGAAGTTTCAAAAATTCCCCGACTTCTCTTGATACTGATGAGTGTACATGGGTAACTTGCTTATAACCCCCTCCAAAAATAGAAAGACTTGTGTAATTCAGGAAAAACGGTGATTTTGAAGGGCACGCAGGTTCAAAAATGAGTATGGAACGGAGGGCAAGCCAGTTTGTTGAATTATTCATACCCTGTCTCAATTATGAATACACAAGTCTTCATCAATTCTCACTGGTGTCTGAATACATATCATGAATTGTAAAAAAGCCTCAGGAAATTGACCTACTTTCCATCACCCAAATTGCTATTTTTTCCTGGGGCAAAACTGATATTGTTTGTAGTGTCAGTCCTCAGGAGCCCCCCTATTCCCCCCCCCCCAACTTTTCAGAGTTGATTCTCCAAAACCTGCAGCAGGCTTTGGAGTTGGGGGTCCAAAAAGTTTATTTAACGGAACCAATGGGTTTGGGAGTCAATCCTCCAAAATCAAACAGTTTTTTGGCAGTTGGTGGACTAAAAAGAGCCCCGATGGCCAGGAAGATTCCCCCAGCCATTGAGAGTGTACTCTTGGCGGCTGGGACGGTTCCTACCTGCTGATGACAGTGTTGTCAGCCTCTTTTATTTATTGAAGATGGTTGTTACTATGAGTGTTGACTGAAGTTTTTGAGTTTGGTGAGTGTGAGGTAGTGGGTGTTAATACAAGTCCTGTAAAGAGGAGGTTTGACTCTACCAGTATGGTCTTTACTGAGAGCAACACTGTTGGAATTTTGGCCACCTCTTGCTCTTATAAGCCTCTTTTTCTTTTCTATTCTTACTTATGCCACCATGACTTGTTCTATTTTATCATTAGGATCTACCCTCTCATCACCTTGAATCCCATCTCATTATAGTCTGTCTTATCTTCCTATTTATGAAGTCTGACCCCCAGCTTGTAGTCTTAGAACCCTGACTGACGAGGGCTTATCTTCTCTCTGGTTAGTCTGCTTATCTTCTTGGGTGGATTTATTTCATTTCTGGTGTCTGTGGTTGTACCCTACTGGTTTTCATATAATATTATTTTTCATTCTATTCATTATTATTTATTATTCATTTTCTCAACAACCACAGTTTGAACTCTTGTATATGATCTATTTAATCTAGCCTAGTACAAGAAACTAAAAACCATTGTTTCTGCTCATAAAGATTGAGTTAGACCACTTTTTTGCCCCTCAAAAAGGTGACACTAGAGTCCGTTCAACATCCCTTCCTCTTCTTCTAAGCCTAAGTTTCAATAAATGCTGAAACAGAGACAAGACAAGACGGTATCAGGCATTTATTTGTATCATCTCAGAATGTGAATACCCAAAAATACTGTATTTGTGTTGTCTCACTTTCCTGAGACAATACACATGTATTGTCTTTGGAAAGTGAGACACATATTCTGTATCATCTCAGAGGGATGATCCCACAAAAAAGGTCTTTGATACACGTGATATTTGGACGTATTGAACAAAAAGAAAAAGGGACATTTTTTGCATTTGTAAATCCAAATCCGAGATGGTGGATTTTCTCACCAACCAAGGAAATATGAATACCAGGTATCAGGCTCAAAATAAAGACAATACAAGACAATACAAATACATGCCTAGTCTCTGTTTCAGTGTTGCTGAGAGGCTTGCTATCAACAGTGTATACGGATCAATACTTGGTATTCATAGGCATCCAGGGTACAAAGACTCGCCTGGGATAGGTCATTCCCAAAAGGGAATGGGCTAACAATAAGAGATAGGCCTTGAAGAAATTAGTTTAAGGTTATCAAGTATTCTTAATGAAATATTTAGCAAGTTCTTGATGTTGAGCAGAAGGTGTCCGCAAGCCTATGTGTGCTCTTGACTCAATCACCTCAAAATGTTTCACAGTACATGTCACAAGAAGCTAGGGTCATCCGATCATCAGAGCTAGACATTGATGACCCCCAATTATCCCTTGCACAAGTATTGGAACATGCGGAGCATGTACGAATGGCAATGAGTTATTGGCAAAAGCAAAACAACAATAGAAAAGCTCCTCAACATAAGGATAGCCCCAGCAAGGAGCTGGCTGAGCTTATAAACACAAATGCGCAGAAGATAGCACATAAGGTGAAAGTAGCAATACATTTAAATTCACGTAAAAGAAAAGCACAGTTAGCAGAGTGCACCGTGCATAAAAGGCAGCAAATAAAATTAGGAAAGTACAGATTAAGAAAATTGAACTAAACAGAGAAAGAAAGCATTCTCCAATGCTTCAACAGGAGAGGTGGCCAGTATGGACTCATGCACACTCACCAGTGGTGGGCACCAATATAAATAGGGCTGTGTATTCAGCCAAGCTTGTATTTTTTTTCTCTTCAATCATTTATATTTTCTTATCATCATTATTTTCATCACATCATCATCATCATTATTAGAATCTTGTCTAGTAGCCTCGCTCAACAGACTTACAATTAGAAATCTACTATTTATTTCACTGCACAAATCTCTGTGGATAAGTAGAGTTATTGAATGTAGCTTAAGAGCAATAAATAAGAGCTTGATTGATGTTGAGTTATGTACAATGTATCAAAATAAATTTTGACTATGTCTCAACCTTAGAGACATGTTGACATGTCCTAAAGGTTTCACAAAACAAGTAAAACAAATAAAAATTAATAATATTGAAATTAATGAAGATTTCACTGTTAGAGGTTTCACAGATATGTGATCTCTTGAAATTAAGATTAATCAAAGAGAACCAAATCCTTTGAATATTGAAAGCAATCTTCAAAAGAATGACTTCAGCCTTGCAAGATGATCAAATCAAGGCAATGCAAACAATACCAAACTTTGGCAGAAGGACTGGTACAAACAGCGGTGGGCCGCTATGCTACACTACCCTACGGGCCCATGTAGTGTTAGCGTAGCGGCGCCAAAAACTTCTTTTTTCTGTGTAGTGTTAGCGCGCCGCTACTGCCGCTGCGCTACACTAATTTGTAGCGGCGCTAACACTAGCCATTTTTTGGTGTAGTGTTAGCGCGCCTCTGGCACCGCTACGCTACAGCGTTTTAAGCGGCAAAAAATGCCCAACAACCGCTAAAAATTGCTGTAACACAGCGTAGCGGGCAGTATTTGGCGGCCTGTGCACGTAGCGTTAGTGCAGATGGGGGGAATTGCGCTAGCGCTACGCTAAAATTTAGCGCAAGTTTTTGCCCCATGAACGTAGCGTTAGCGCAGGAAATGAAAAAAGCGCTAATGCTATGCTAAATTGTAGCGGTTTTTTGATACACTACGCTATGCTAACGCTACGGTTAGCGTAGCTGGCTCACCGTTGGTACAAAGTATTCAACCCTTGAGACCGGAATATGTAGTCCTTCCTGAAGTTCCTCCCTCCTTAGGGAAAAAACATTTCCTACTTCTCGAGCTAACTTTTGAGACATAAAAATAAAAAGGTAAATTACTTAGAATAACTCTTCTTGAAAATAACCCTGTACAGAATTCTTATTTTATCTAATCCCCTTCTCATTTAATTGTCTACAAGAATCAGCTTGAACTAAGAGATCTTGATCTACTCGTGCATTATTCCTTTTATCCTTAGATCCTCCCAACCAAACTCTCCAAACTACTGCCCTTCCACATCCAAGATACCGCTTAGGATCTTCAGAAGTGAGTTATCAACCTCTTCAATTAAGATTAAGAGTATCTTATCATACCGTGATTCTCTCTCTTCTGCTCTTCTCTCTGATTATATCACTCCTTATCAAAAATCAATCTCAATACTTAACCATTAAATAAAATTTAAATCAACTGCATAAAATAAATAAACAATTGGGTTTGATTCTAATAACCCTTCCATGTCACTTGACTGGATAAAAAATTATCACAATCAATATATATCTGATTGATCCTGTTCCTACTTTTAGGAACAGAGGCCTAGGTGTTCCCTTAATGGCTAATAATCTTCTCCAAGAATACGAAAAATCTCAATTGAACAAATAAATAAAATAAAGTATCTTCCTTTTCCTTTTCTTTCATCCTACCTCTTTGTATCTAGTCTAGCCTTGTTATTAATTTATTTTCTTACTAAAACCGGTCTTGTCCAGCTCAATCTCTGTGGGAGGTCCCCTGCTGACACTATGTTTAACTGGTGTCTGAATATTCTGGGTATTAATCAGTGAACTTGGTGCAGATTATATGTTCCAGAATATTGAAGGAAGGAAGGTGGGCTGCTATGCTAACCGTTGTTAGAACTCCCTTTAGGATGAATGGCAGTCCTGCGAGGGGGAAATAGCAGTTATAAAATTTCAGGTATGTATGAAGCTATTACAACTGTTACCGGTGGTTTGAAAGACCTGCCCCTCTATTATACTACACAAGAATTCTGACAACAAATTTACTTAATTGTTGTGGCAAAGCCTATTATAGAGAAAACTTTAAATAGTAGTCTCTATCAGACCTACACCAACTGATATGGATTACAGGCAATAACACAAGCTACTCAAAGAACCTGATTGAGATCACAGGTCTTGGTGAAGGGGGGAGGACGGGGGGGGGGTGATGAAAACCAGTAGGCCAGGCTGTGTGATGATGAGATACTTGTTTGAAGATCACCCCTATGAATGGATTGAAATCTCAAAGTGAGATATATGTTGATGCTGGGATTGCATGAAGAACTTGAACTGAGGGGGGCAAAAAGGCCTGCTTATATAGTTTATTTACGCAACAGCTAGCTTGTGGTTCTAGCCCTAACCAATAATTGCAAAAATGGCTAGATTGTGGTTCTATCCCTAACAATTTACCTAGCTCTAAATCTATACTATGCACTACCAATTTACCATCATGCTTTGTAATCATGTTCTATCATAACCTTAACATCTAAATAACTTCTGACTGATTCGAGCTAGCCTAGTGGTTCTAGTGATTGACTGCAGGTTAAATGTGATGTAGAATTCAAATATGCAAGAATAAAACCAATAATAAAGCTCCATATCAAAGATGATTCAAGAATTTATGTACGTTGATACTTGCAACACATTTGGCACACTACACCGTAGCAGTTAGCACAGTGTAACTTGGCCACATTCTGCTAGAATTTATCATAGCGTAGCAGAATTCCACCACCTCTGCATTAACACTACAAGCGTACGGCCCACTATGCTGTGCTAATGCGCTGGTTAGCAGAAATTTGGCCCTGTAGCACTGGTAGTGTACCGTAGCTTAGAGATGGCAAGGCAGACACCTGTGTCTGCTTTTCATGGAACCTGCTTGAAAGTGCTTGAGATCAAAGAACATCAATATGTAACACTTTTGTCTCATCAAGTACCACTTTGGCTTGAGGAAGACACTGAGATAGCTTTCTAGCAAGGCACCTGTACAACCACAGATTCCAAATACCTGCGCACAGGTATTTGGCATCTGTACTCTCACCTGTGCCAGCCCATGCAGTGATGTGAGTGTATTCCTCAAGTCCAAGTGGTACTTGATGAGATGAAAGTGTTACATATTGATGTTCTTTGATCTCAAGCACCTTGAGGCAGGTTCCATGAAACTCAGACAGGTGTCTGCCATGCCATCTCTACCAGCGTAGCTCAGCATACATAGTAAAGCAAAAATCGACCAAAAAAGCGCTAATACTACAGGACTTGGGTGCAAAAAAAGTGCAGCACGTTTCAGGCAAAAAGTGTAGCCTCGCAGCCCAGCATTGCTTGACATCTACTGCCCATCATTGTTTGTTTCCAGGTGCCGATGATGACAACATAAGATTCTACATATCCGCAGGCAGGGTTCAAGACTTGGAATGTCCAGTTCAATGTTTACCAATCAATCAATCAATCAATCAACTAATGGATCCAATTTCAAGCGTGAACATACAAACCAAGATTTGCCAGGGACCACCCCTCAACAATATACTTCAACAAACCTCAAACTTTACTAGGTCAACACTCACATCCATAATTGCAGATCATGATGGCCTTCTCAATAAGTGTATCATCCAATCATGAATCCCATCTTTGCAGCCCTTCATTGATCACCTCAAGAAATCAAAATTGTGGAGTGATTCAACTATTGGAATAATAAGTCTAACAATGTCCTAGTTTTACTATATTTTTAGTTGTTTGTTTTTGTGTTACATATGTGCAAATGGCTGTTTTATTACTTCCTGATCTTCAGGCAATCATTACCATTTTCTGGTTATTTTATTTGTGTTTTATGGGGGGGGGGAGGGTAATGAGAATGTAAGTAGAGCAAAAGTTGGGGGAAGAGGATGGTCTCAAGCTTATCAAGCGTGGACCTGATCAACACATATACATAATAAAGAAGCATATTGAGAGGAGGGATTCGGGTATGAAAAGAGTACATGATCAGGAGGCACAGCATCCAAATTGACTAGACAACAAACATGAATAGAACTTTTTTTTAGCTAGTCATGCAGTGTTACATCATCTTCATTTCTTGGATTTTTTTTGTTTTGGTTTGTTTTGAGTGGGGTAAAGGGTAACGGGTAAAGGGGTAAGTAAGGGTTCAGATAAATATATTTGGAGGAAAAGCTTGAGATTCTCAATTTTGAGAGAAAGAAAGAAAAAAAAAACGATTAGAAGAATGAGAGAAAGGAGTTCATGAGGAAGAGGAGGATGCAGCGAGGGCGGCGTTGGCGGCCTCGACAGCGACTCGACGATTGACAAGAGTGACGCCAGCGTGGATAAGAAGAGCAGGCCCGAGAGAGAAGCCGACGGTTTTCAGCTCCTCGACGGACAAATAATTGAAGACGGACCAATGATGGAGACGATGGATGGTGATGAGCGCTCTGGTATGTTGATCATGGAGCGGGATATGACAGAGCTTGAGGAACTCTTCCATCTCCAACGTGTCTGGATCTAAGCGGGCAGGAGCTTCTTGATTCGGTCGTGGGCGTTTCGGCGGCCGGCTTGATGGGTCTGACGAACTGAATAGAGAAGGTCGGCTGGGCGCTGCCATCGCCCCGCTGCTTGGGCCGCTGGTACTCGCTTGGGCTTCCGCAGACGACGGAGCTGATTCTTGGGTGATATTCGCTCGTGTTCCAGTCGTTTCACTAGTTGTGTTGAGAGGCTGATGTAGGGTAAAATTACCAAACGAAAAAAAAAAAAAAACAAGATTGGCGATCATGTGTAGATATCAAAAGCCAATGTTATGAAACCAGTACTACTAACCGTTGTAGCTTCATCCTGAGTCGCGGGGGTCGATTCTGGCTTAGTCATGATGATCTCGAGCTTGGGTCTATCAGAAGAACCAGAGCGTCTGTTTCGAGTGACTTCTTCGGCAGCCAAGAAGGCTTTGAAACTGGCATCACCCGAGACGAAGAAGCGTTTCTGAGGATCGAAGAGTTGATTGTGAGGATTACTAAGAGAACAGCGCCATTCGACCATCTTGAGACTATCGGCCGACTTCAATAACTTGAGTACATTTGCGTCCCTGAGAATCGATTTTAAATGTCTGAAGATCCCGCACTTGAATCGTTCGAAGGGCAAGTCTTTTGTAAACACGGTTAATCCAGTGGGCAGAGCAGGGACAACATGTTGGGATTGGCCTGTAGTCGGCTCTACTACCCAGAGGGAGTAGCTGATGTCAAAGTGAAGCCGAGGGATGTCTGAATCGTTCCCAGATATCGCGGGTTTATAATCCATCTTCGTTGGTTGGTTGACTATGGGTTTTATGATGGTATTGGTAAGGACAGGGTTGGGGTTGTCTCCGCAGAGTCCAAGGGCGACTGATCTCGGCTCGAAGGACGCGAGCCAATTACCCATTCTGCATATATCCAAGTTGCATACATATGTGGAGCCCCGCAAGGGGGTTTAATTAGGAAACCGCCCCCCAGGACCCAGGGCAAACAAACCATTCTGACACCATCCACTTAACATCCAGAAACCAGTCCAAACTGTTTATAAATTTTCACAGCTCCTAATTATCATGAACACCAAACATGCAAACTTCATGATAACTCAAAAATAAGAACAGCAAGAACGGATTCTCCTCTTAGGATTGTTCCACGGTAAGTAAAATATTGACCAGTGGCTTACCAAAAACTCATGGTTTCGGGTTATTCAGAAATTCGGTTTTGTTCAGCCTGCGGACCAACCCAAGTCGAAAAGATCCACTGATCTGAGCCACCCAAGCCCAGAGCCCTGCATCCAACTGCCACCTTAATTCCCGTCCCAAGACACTACAAGGGCATTTTTTTTTCTAGCAACTTATAAACTCACCTAGATTTGTCTGCATCTATAATGTATATCTAAATGGTACGGCTCCCTCTTCCAGATCAATTGTGCAGGATTATCCACTGGATCATCCACAGGAACCAGATATTTTGTCAAGCAAATTTTGATCAGGATGTGTGCCAATATGGCAGGAGACACTCCTTCCATAAAACATTGAGAAGCATTGCAATTCACTCCTGGGGCCCGGATAGATTACAGCAGTTCCCAGAAAGCTTGCGTTTGCGAGCTCCTGGGATCTGCTTTTTTTTAATTTTCTTTCCACTTTTTTTTGCGCCTCGTAACCTGTACACATGACTGTACAGGTTGTGAATCTGCTGCCGAGGCCGGGTGCCTCCGGGCACCTGTTGGTTGCCTGGTGGGGGCTAGATGCACTTGATGTGATGACTGCTTCCAACTCAAAAAAATGAGAGGAATCCAATGGTCCAACTCCCATATCTTCAACTTGGAAAATGGGGGAGTTGGGCCATGATGCCTGGAATATCATGGCTGTACGAGGCCACGTACAGGACAGAAAAGAAAAGAAAAATCGAGGCACAAATAAAAAAAATTGGGATCCCAGGAGCTTGCGACAGCAAGCTTTCTGGGAAATGCTGTAGAGCCAGAGTTCTGCCTTTTCAATCAAGAATGATACAATTAATGAAAAGGGAAAAGGGCCTCCTAATTAATCGGGGGGGGGAGGGGGGGTTCAGCCCAATGAATGTGGAGGATGTATTCCCAGTCAATGATATACAGCTATAACAAAAAAGCTTGCGGGCTCAGAAGATAGAAAATCAAAAAAAAAATTGGCTACAGTCGGAATATTTGGAAGAATACAGCCAGATGTACAGGTTTTCATGTACTGGCCACTACTGGCAACGCTGCCACAGATACAATACGCTGTGTGTATCATGGAGAATTCTGCAAAGCTGCATGGCCAAAAACCAAATTTGTTGAATCTCCTTGCAAATAAAAGCAGATTGGTCAGATAGTTTTTTTTATTGGGGCTCAGATACATAGTGATACATGGCAGATGAGGGCATGCTACTGGCCAGCGGTACCAATGGGACCTGACCGGCCCCCCTGGGGGGTAGCTCTGCCCTAGCAAAGCCATGGATGGGAGGGTGGATGAGGTCAACTTTCCATCAGGATTCTGATGGTGTTACCCTCATCACCTGAAAGTGAGTGAAAAAAAAGTTAGCTGATTTGATTGGAGGTAATCCATACATACATGGACCTGTATTCTTCCAAAGCTTCCAATTTTTTTCGGTTTTTTTTTTTTTTTTTTTTTTTGATTTTCTATCTTCTGAGCCCGCAAGCTTTCTCGTTATAGCTGTATCATCATCACAACTCATGGGAAAGAGTCTTCCCAATGGATCAAGCTTTACAGGCCGAGTAAAGACTGTCCATCTGAGAACCTCACTTCCATTCCAACCTGAGTATATTGTAGTGGAGCAGCAACTTTAACCCGCATGGACTGTGCATACTACTTTGGCCATTATAATGAGGTCCACATCACCATCCCAAAAACAACATAGACCTCATATTCTTCACCAGGATGCTGGATCTAGGGGGTCTGGATTGGACCACATAGTTCAAATACGCTTCCTGGGATCCGGGAAACGAGACTTGATTGAACCCTCTTTGGGTTGGTTGCTCTAGAATAGACACTCTGGAGACTCTCAAACCCACAAGGAAAGCACAACAAGAAATTAGAATGAAAGCTTGAGCATGACTCTATGAGGGAATAGATTCGATGGACTCAAAATTAAGTCAAGCTCTATTGCAATAAAGTAGAGATCCATCCATCCAAAAATCCCATCTCATGATCTCCAAAACGATTTCCAGATGATATTGCTTGAAACAAAGCTGATATGCGGTGAGTTTTATGATGAATACTATTAAGAATGCTAGTTGATATGCGCATAAGCCAAACACCAGTTTAAATGTAAATGACACACTTTCTTTTACAATGAGCTACATTATGTGATATAAGTGAGACAAGGGGTTTTCCGGGTGACTTTTACGGCAGTCCAAAATAAAAACAAATATGAAATCAGAGAAAGTGGTATGCAGTTATAGATCTTTGAGCTATTATAAAGAGCCATGATCATGATCAGCAGAGTGATTATTCCCAATCAATCGAGTGGGAACGATCCGACTGCCGCCATGAAGAGATTGACTGCTGAACTTGCGTCTGAGGATGTAATTCCCTTGTCGAAGAGCTTGCAAGCCGTCAACCGACCGCGAGCTTGATAGAAACACTTGTCGAGAAGAGTCTGCCTGTTGATGATGATCATCATTCGGGGGACAAACCTTCGAATCCTGCGCGCGATTCTTGACGACCCTAAATCGGAAAGGAAAATTCAAGGGTCAGTGGATCTTTTTCGAAAAGTGCTTAAAAGTGCGCCGGGATCACAAAGATAAAGACTCACTGTACTTGAGAACGCTCATGTGATCCATTCTTCCCATAGGCTTCCGACTCTTTGTTTTCAGAAAGAGTTCCAGAAGACATCTTGCGTCTCAACCACCTGAGAGGCAACCGAACCGTGAGGAAAAAGAACAGCACGATTGCCTTTGCCTGTGCAGACATTGGAATTAGTTGGTCAAGTGCGATTTCAGGATCAGTTTCTTTTTGATAGACAGCAGGAAGACAACGTACGAGTCCAATTCGAAGGATCCAGTTCATCCCTCCACTCATCCAAGTAAACCAAACCACCCAACCAAGCACGATCTTCAGTTTCGAGATCGACAGTTTCTTCACAATCGCTACCCCACGTTACCACACATTCCCAATTCAGTTTTTTATCATCAGCACATGATATACCAGTCCTCGAAACATTTTTTTTATTTTCTGAAGATAGCTATTTCCTTACAAGACAAAAACCCGGTTTTGAAGAAGGAATAGAAGACGAAGAGTGGCGAGTCAGAGACAGTGTCGGTGAGGGTCTGGATCATCGCTTGGTGGGTGGCCATGCTTTCCATGAACCTGTGGATCAGCTCTTCGCCTTTCCTCTACCCATTAAAAAAATAAGTCAATGACATGAAAAGATAGGTCTACTTGTTGATGGGAACAACTCTCACTTGTTGTTCCTCTATCTTGGCGCTAGACTCTCTTAAAATACTCTCGCGATCAGACGAAGTGATTTGCATAGAGTCCAGATTCTGCTTCATCGAGCTGAGGATGTTTTCTACTGAAAGAAGCTCCTCAAACAGGGCCGCCTGTCCCCTCCTGTTTTCAATCATCTTTCGTTTTCTGGATCTCACCGAACGGAATAGATTGGATGCTCACCATTCTCTGCGATTGTGCGGTGATGCTTTCTTCCAATCCTTGATGATGCCGGTGGGTGGCTAGATCCAGGGCTGCTTCAAATGCCTGGGTACATCCATCCATTCAAGGGAATATACACAATCTTCAGTTATTGGCGCAAGCTCTCATAATATTTGCGAGAGCGCAAGTGAACATGAATATGTAGCGTACCTGTTTGATTTGATGGTTTACATTGGCTGAGTTGGAGCGACTTTCAAGCTCAAAAGCTTGCTTCAAGTTTGCTATCATTCCGGCCGCCGCAGAATCCAGACTGGATTGGATCTTCTGCTCTACTTCTTCCTTCATCTGGACGGACAAATCCACACTTGTCGTCAATTGTTTGAATCAATACAAAAAAAAGAACGAATTAAAAAATACTCACCGATAGTATGAAGTTGTTGACATTCTCGTTGAGTTTCAGTTGATTGTTATTATTGAGAGATTGCACCCTATCTTGAATGTTTTCGATCTGCTGATTTTGATGCGAATGGAACTCGTTCCACAACTGTTGATTGCGCTCGTACAGATGGGATTTGACATCCTGGAAACGGGCTTCCAGTTCGCGGAAGAGTTTCTGGGATTCCAGTCGATTGCTTTCGGAGACCGAATCCAAGTTTCGAAGACTTTGATCGAACCGATCGCGCATATGATCGCGCAGGTTCCGGAGATCTTCTTGGTTAGATTGATGGTCCAATCTGCTCAATCTGATCATGTCAGTCGAAAACTTGATGGTTTTGAGATTCAAGGAAGTGGCTAGCTCTAGGAAGAGAAAAGAAAAAACGCTCAAGAACATAGATCAGAATGAAGATTGGTAAAGTCTGCATAAGTGATATGAGAACTAGATTGATCGGAATTTACCGATTCCTTGTAATTTGTGATGAGCAAAGCACAGTTGAACAGCTTCTCTTTGGTGGCCAGTAAAGGAGGACCAGGACTGCGGAGATGCATGCAAGGCGCCGACGCAAGCTTGAAGCTTTTCGGAGGTGGGTTCAGAGCCAGCTTCAATCCATAGGGAGCACTCCCTCGGCAATGTCAAACGGTTGGTTTCCAATTCACAGATTGTTAGCCTAGCAGCAAAGGCCGTCCGGTGTGCTTCTGAGCGACCCAGCACTGAACATAATGAAGGTTCTGGAACCGCGCTTTTCTCCGGGTTGGTGAGCGCGCCAAAGATTCGACTGTAGCATGAGCTTTCCTCTCGGTCGGGTTCTTGAACATAAGGAGCCCAACAAATCAGGTCGGAGTATTTGACTTTGAGACTTTTTTTTTTTTTTGTAAGGGGACTCAGACTTACCAATGCTAACGCCTTGCAGTCGCTCCTCGAGCTCGCTCATCAGACTGGGCATTCGAAGCTCATTCTCCAAGACCGCCTGATGAGCAGTACTTTCTTTGGACGAAGCTACTGACTTTGACTCCTGGAAGCCAAACCGGAAGCCCCAAACCGAGCCTGCGGTCATGAAGAGAAAGGGTATTCGGCCCGATTGAAGCCAGTTCATTCGACTGCTCTTTCTGATAGGTTGGGATGAGGATTAAGGCCTGATGGTCAAGTTGGCGCGGTGAGACTGTTTGAGGAGATCGGTTCAAGTGGATTGAGGGTCGAAGTTTACTTTGGGCTGCTTGTTGACCATCCGCTTCTTGACCAACAGGAGGCAGCCATCAAGCCAAATGGGCACCAAACTCCAGGCTGTGTCGGATTTTGAACTGGCCCGAATCTCTTTCAAGTTTGATGACTGCGAAAAATGCAGGAGTCTTGGATCTATAAATCTCCACCAATTGACTGACCCCTCCCATGAAAATTATCTTCTTGGAGATGTGAACATCACAACTAGTCCTATTTAAGGATGATTTGTAAATATTCTATCATGCCTTCCACGATCGAGCAAAAGAGCCAGAGAATGAGGAGGGTCATCCAGCCCAGTCAAGCGAAGGCAGAAACCAAGCTGAAGGGTTTCCCGCCGACGTCGTCGATCAACTCCATCGGTCGTGTCCTTGGAATCATCATCTCCGATGTTCTTCATGTCAGTCTCGCTAGGTTTGCTCGGTAATTGTGCCAAATATCATCTCTTGTTCTGCCCCTCACACTCGCGCTCAAACAAAAACGAAAAAAGCACGGCAGCCTACCGGAGTGGTCGGAGAGAAGGACATGCGCATTCACTCGGTCAGTTGTCAACATCAATGACCGGTGGATCGAGACAAATCCTTAATTTCGTCATCCCATCATTGCCCATGGATGATCATCCAGAAGGAAGACGAGCCTGTAGAAAAAATGTTATAGCTAAAACTCACGCCGCGACGGTCGGTGATAATGAACCTTGACAGGCCTTGACTTGAAGTGGTAGTTCATCATCAGGTCAAGATCAAAAGATTAGCCATGCTCTGCGGCAAAAAGCTTCCGTAATTGAATTATTGGGACCCCATAGATTGTAATATCCCAAACAACATATTCTTAGATGCAAACTAACTCCATCTGAGCTACCATCCAAAATAGTAATGGCTCATTTACCAACTAACTCAAAGATGCTTGGTTGGATCGATTGACCCTTTCGGAGATGGGCTGTTCGCCTTCCCATTGTGTAATGTGCAAAATCACAGTAGCAAATTCAAATGATTTTTTTTAAAAAAAAATGAAGAAGAATAGAAAACAGCAGCTGAAGAAAGACAATTTTTGATGAACAATTCAAGTGTACACAGGCAGGGCACTCTGTACAAATTAGCACAGCCCAGGGATGCCTTTGTACCTGAGACGTCCCTGGGCCGGAATGCCGTCCACAGGACATCACTGCCAACGCCTGGCATCTCTATCACGTCCCACTTAAAAAACTTAGTGCAGCCCAGGGATGCAATTGTCCCTGAGCCGTCTCTGCATCAAGCATGCTGTCCCCAGGTCATCACGCCCCCACCCTCGTATCTGTATCACGTCCCACACCAACTCATCCATCACCTAGCCGTTCCCACTCAAAGCCCATGACATCTGAGTCTCCCTGTGACATTACCCTGCTGTCCGGAAGCCCAACCAGCTTCAACACTTGACAGGGGGACAACAGTCATCCTCATGCATGAAAGGGCCCAAAAAATAGAATAATTGAGCAAAATAACATTCATTTGAAAATCATCAACCAGAAATCTCCAATCAAAAAAGAAGAATTCACCAGGATAAACACATCTGAAAAATTTGAAGGATTTTCAGACCTACTCTAGTTTATCAACTTGGAATTCCTTCAACGTTTTGGACATTCAGAAGAATATTATTTGGAGGGGCACTTTTTCTTCAGGATTGGCTTCTCAAAATCCTTGGAGAATATCCTGACTCACAATTAACTTCTGAACAAACAGCAGATGAAACTAGTAAGAAAATCCAAGCCTTCTTGCAAAGGTTTTACAGCATGTTTAAATGTATGCCACATATGTCACCAGTATTGAGAAAAAATTCATCAGTTGGGAGATAGAAATGATATAAAGCATTTCTTAGGAGTGCTGTATAAAGGCCCAGTCAATATTGTTAAAATTGTGTTAAATTCTATGATCATCTTTTATGCCACCAGAAACATGAAAAAGTGGAATTTATTGTTTGGACATGAAAGAAATTTCATCTTTCACTTGTTTAAAATTCAGGTTCCAGATTTATTCAAAGGTAGCCTTAATATGAAGTCAAGTAGTAAACTGAATGAGATCACTAAACTCAATGTACTTCCATGGAGTCAACCTTTTTTTTGGAGATAAAACTCATTTCTTAGAAGATAAAGTATTTGAAAAAGAATTCCATAGGATTTCACACAATTATATTCAAGCTATATCACCAGCTAATGAACTCCAAAATTCTCTTAAAACTAATCCCCAATCAAGTTTCTTGATGAACACAAGATTAGAATATAGTATATTTTCATCTGCTTTGATCAAGTAGACAGTCATGTGATGTACAGAATCTTAACATTATTAGCCATTGTGAAACAGTTTTATTTTGGAAGAGCAAAGAAAACTGTCCAAGAAAGAGAAGTCAAATGAGGAAATTCAATGGAATCCCCAGTCTGGCCACTCGGAAGGTCAAAATGATCCTTATTTGGCTTTTGATTGATTTGATTGAGACCAAAGTACCCTCGCAATAAGTCCTGATACAGCTTGATTGAGACATAAGTACCCTCAAAATAAGTCCCGATACAGCAGATGAGTAGGGTGCTAGTTTTTAGAAATCCCTAATGATTTGTCCTGCCAAAGTTCATTTAGTTTGTGAAGAGCTTCATTAAGGAGATTCAGGCATTTCTCAGTATCTTGTAAGAAATATCTGGCCATTGCACTCTGACAAGCCGCCTGGGCCCGGATGATTCACTTTTGATGGGTTCGGTATTCTTATCAAATGGGGCCTTAAGCCAAGAACAGTTTTGAGAACAGTAATGGCCTCTTCATAATCTTTTTTTCGCAACCAAATCCGACATATAGTTTGCTAACATATACCGTTGTTCAACTTCAATGTTTTCCCAATTTTTTTCTTATCATTTTTCTCGGGTCGGCCTTGGGCAAGAAGGCTGACTCCTCAGAGGTCCATTGCTGGTGGTGAATGGGGGATCAGCACCCCTGAACCCCATTCGTAACGACTGTCGCACAGTCGATTGTACATAATTACAAGCAATGATCAACGTTGGCACACAGCTGAAGGACTTCAACTGTGTGCCCACGTTGACCGTCTCATCCTGTTCTCATTCACAAACCACTTTCATCTTCCCCCACTGAAACATTTGCTCCAGTCTTAAATCACCCCTTCGGATTGGTTTGTTCGTTGTTCCAGTCTAAATCCCCCCATCTCCGATCAAAATTTCATTGAACCAGGCTCAATCCCATGATATCGAATTGAAACCGTTCACAGCACGTCCGTCGTAGTGTCCCCAGAGGGGGAAGAATTGCCCCTACGATGTGCTCAACTTGGTGCTAGTAGAATCTCCATTGTCAGTCGCAATCAGGAACAGAGCCAATTCTAAACAACAATTTGAGTTCATTCAGGCTGATATTGCGTCAAGTTTTGCTTTCATCTGGCCAGCTACATGCCCATCTTTCCCCCATCCTTAAATTCGTGCTCTTTCCTTCTTTTCTGCTAAGGACAATCAAAACTATCAGAGAAACGTGATGGAGTTCCAGAAAAAGGTCGGACCAAACGGATTTGACTATTTACTGATGACTCAAGGAGGGCCACTGAATGGAATATATGAAGAAAATTCATAAGGGTCAGTTGACCGTATCATATATTTCAAAATTTCACGTCCTTGCCCAAGAAAAAAAAAGCGAACTGACAAAGTGAAAGGGGATTGGGATTAGATATGAGAAGTTGCTTGCTGTCCATTGCGTATCTCGCTTAAGCTTGAGTTACTTATTAGCTGAATTGAAGACATTGAAGAACAACCGTGCAGTTGTCTCGATCCTGTTGCCTAGATCGAGTTACTTGGAGTAGTTTTTTTAGCTTTGTTGTAAACAACCAATTGTATTTTTCTGTGGGTTATTGACAATAAATACCATTTCACACTTTGATTCACTGAACATTGGTATGGGAATACTGTGCATTCAGTTTCCTCAAGCTTTCTAGTGGTTGTGTGTGTGTGCTGCTCAATGACATCCTGCTGTTGCAAGAAAAATGCCAAAATGCTGTGTTGGTAACATCTCAGAGACACCACATTGAATGATACTCTGGATGTACAATTTTGGAGGAGACGGCCCTCAAATACCTCCTGGCCATCAGTAGGATGCTTTGGGGGGACATCACATGGACGCTCCACCAAGACATCCCAGGGCTGGCCTTTTATTTTGGGAGGAGCACGCTGTGGTGAGATTGATCAAACCCATAGCCATAAATAAAAACACTTCATTACATATAAATAGTAGTTAAAATATTAGAGGAAAAGGGGTAGAATAGGAAAGAAACCACATAAATATTACTGGGCTAAATTGTAGTTTAATTAAATCACGAACTAGGCTTAAGATATTCAATTTCTCATGAATAAAAAATTACACAAATAACCTGTAGAACTATAAAACATTCATCATAGGCTAGTAAATCAAGCTACTGATCAGAAAGGGCTTCACAGACAAGTTCTAGAAAATAGTTCTTATACTAATTAGTCTAAGAATATCATTCTCATAGTAATTAATCTAAGAATAGGCCTTATATAGTAGAAACACAACCTCTTGTATTAGAAGGGCACTTAGAGATTAATTCATATCAGATTAGCCCATCTCAGAGTAGTAAAATCCACTCTAGAAGTACCCTTCTTAGACGTACTTGTGTTCAGGCCAAAATCCCATGTACTGCAGAACCTTTTGTCTATAAATAGAGGCTCTTCTGGCCCATGTTTTCCTTTCCCCTCCTCATGTTTGCACCAGAGAAGTAATTAGAGATATTACTTAGCACTCATCAAAACCAGATGCTAGCTACAGAACAGTAATCAGAGATATTACTCAGCTTTCATCACCCCTTGATTAAAGAAATCCAGAGATTATTAGAGCCCTTGAACTTCCCTTACCTCAATTTTTGGCCATAGAAAAGTAATACAGAAATATTGCTTAGCCATTCTCACCTCTTTGAAAGATTTAGAGAAATCAGCGTACCTTTATCAGAGCCCAGAGAAACCAGAAAGACTTATAAGATCAGAGAACCAGAGAGAATTTATAACAGATTTAATAGAGAAACCCTACAGAAACCCTTATTACTCAGAAAACCCCATAAAACTCCTTACCCCCTCAACAGGTATTCTTAAGCAACAACAACAGTAGTATCAACACTAAGATAAATTTAGAAATAAGCCACGCTCTTATTTTTCTTAGTGTAACTTTCCCGCAAGCTAGACAGGAGGGCAGTCTCACCCACACACCAATACTAATTCTACTATTTCATAGTCTTATTAGCTATTTTATCCCCTCCAAGCTCTTTACTCACTTGCTGAGCAGTTCCACAACGCGCCTGGGATGCTCTGATCTGTGGGGGCGGCTGTCCTGGTGCCATCCCCCTGGACCCTGCCACTTGGACGTCCAAGTGCACTGGGGGTGTACAAAAGAAATGAAGGGAAAAAAGAAGCAGATTAGTGTTTGAAGTCATGGATATGAAGTCCATAAGAAAAAAAAATGAAACTGAAGAGCATTTTCTGAGCCCCTGATTGAGTGATCAATGGAGTTTGTGATAGAGCATATAGGCTGGAAAAGCGCAATTAGTAGCTCTGTTGAGTTTTCCTCTTTTCTGGTCTACTCTTCCCCAAATCACTCCCTACTTTCCATTTATTTCCCTCTTTCTCCTTTCTTGAATCTTCTTGATCTAGACTGAACTGTAGTCTTTCACTGCTGGTTTTGTGTTGAATCTTATGCACTTCTTGGAGTCTAATTAGAACTATCAATAGCAATTTATCAACAACTCCTGTCTTTCTGATTGATTCCTTTCTTTTTCTAGTTCACTATTTGATTCCTAAAAACTGATTGTTAAGAATTAACGCCTCTTATACATTTGTGGTTGTGTGCTTGTTTTTTCATGATTAATTTGCTAGCTATTCTAAAAGAGACTGAGAAGAATTGTCCGGCTGTTTCTTCCATGAACTCATTCATTCCTTCCTCTCAGTTTTTATTCAAAATACTCTTTTATTCAATTTCTCTCAAACCACATTTTTAACCTTTTGTATTTAGTCTATTTAAAACAGGCTAGCTACAAGAAATAAAACTCATCGGTTCTTCACACTCCTTTCCGTGAACCTTTCCCAAAAAAGAGTCCTTTCCTTTTTTGGCCCTCATCTTCTTACGCGCCTGAGTCTTAAATTTCAACAAGCTCCAGTGAAAAGACCTTTCTTGCCACAATGTGGAGGATATAGGTATGCTGGACAGCTGTCTGTGGATGGTGGAAAGGCCGCCGATGGCCTCTACTTACATTGAAGGGCAATTTAAGGAAATCAATCAAACATGGAAAAAGAAAGACTGAAAATGAGGCACAACTTCAAAAAAAAAAACATCAGATACACCAACAAACAGTTGCATTCTTGAAGCCTTCTCCTCAACAAGATCAATTCAGGTGGACAGGTGCCATTTCATTTCACACTACTAGTCCATCACATCGGCAATTTGGGATGAAGCAACCACAAAGTGAATCAAAATATGACAGAAAAATGTGCCCATCATTACCAGAGCAGACACCCCAAACACACTCCCCTCACAACCTACGTGTTCCAATCATCCCAGGGGGGCAGATCTATCACACAGAGCTATTGTAATTGGGCCATTGAATCAGTTTCAAATCCCTACTATACCAGAGACTACCTAATATATATAGGGTCAAAATGATAGTAATGTTTCAAAAGAAATACTTACAATTTTTATTCAGAATTCTGAATCTCAATTGTAGATACACTAAGGTATATTTGGTAAACATTGATTACATAAATAGTACATGCCTCTGGGGGAGCTCTTGAATATGCTTATGATTCAAAGTAAATATGCTGATACCTTGTTTCAGACTTGAAACTATGGAGAAGAGTATAGTCTAAAAGCTAGCAGGAGTAGGTCAATGTAACAAGATCTGAAATATCCTATGGGACATTGGCAAGGAATAGCCATAAATCTCACCCTTCACCCATGCTACAAGTCGCAGCCATCATCCATTCCACATTTGACAGCCTTTCTCCATGCCACATGTTTCAGCCTCCTTCCATGGGATATGCCACAGCCTATCCCCTTGCCACACGAGTAACCCCAAGCAACTAGCAGCATCTTGATTTTGAACAAAGCAATAATCAACCTCCTCAAAAATGACATCTGCAGTCTTGAGAAACAATGACCTTCTCATCCTGAAATGCTGACAGAAAGAAACCTTTTGGGAATATTGGTTTGTTGCAACAGTGGGCCAGTTACACTAACCGTAGCGTTAGTGTAGCGGAATTCCACTAAGCTTTAGTGTAGCGTAGCGGAATTCTGCCACATCTGCACTAACACTACGCGCATAGGCCCCAAAAAAGGGCCCACTACGCTATGCTAACACGCTGGTTAGCGGTTTTTTTGAGCACTGTTAGCGGCCTGTAGCGCATTGTAGTGCATTGTAGTGTAGCAAAAATCTGCTAAAAAAACGCTAACACTACGAGTTTTTGTTGCAAAAAAAGTGCGGCTACGCTATGCTTTTTGTGCCAAAGGCGTAGCGGCCCACTGCTGTTTGTTGTATTGAATAGTACATGATGATCATGGAGTTGATTCCAATTGATTTCTTATGTCCAGAAGCGGACCCACTGGGCTTGATTCATCACTTATTCTTCTTGATGAGCAGAATAACCATTGTCTCAAGCAAAGCAAATACATTGCCATCATCCTTGACCTAATCCATGAGTTCAACTGGGTTCTTTTTCCCCTTGGGGTCAAGCAATTTTCATGTCAGCAAAAGACCTCAGGCAGACGTCGCCAGCGGGTCGCGCCTCGAGTTTTGGAAGCGCACCGACAGTGGGACCAGCGAGCCTCCCATCCGGAGGACTCTAGTTTAAGTTCGGTAGTTGCTAATGCTATGGTAATTGCTAATCTATCGATCCTCGCCTGCAATCTCATTGAGGGTACGGCCTGTGCCTGCCCATTGAAGATATGCCAAGCCCGGCAAGCTAGACCAGTGTGTACTCCATACCTTGGGGAGGATACACCCTCGGCGAGCACACAGCTTAAACAAGCTTGCCTAAAGGGGTCCTCCTCACCAAAGGACATAGCGAAGGACCAGCAATTTGGCTCTTTGAAGGGGGTCAGTCATCATCATCCTTCGAGCTGGGTACCTCTTCAATAAACAGGTAAATCCCGCACCGGTTCGCGGAAAGATTGTTGTTCAACGATCTGGTCCATAGTACCAACGGCCGGAAACGTATCTCTCCGTCGCTGAGCTCACCAGAAAAGAAAAAGGCAGCCCCGTGTGCAGGAAGGCTTGAACAGCCGACCTGGGGATGGATGTTCTGCTGTAGTACGCTTTCCTGGGTGTCCAGAATGGTGGTCGCATAGGCATCCATCAGGCGCTTACCGATTGCGCTACGGGGCCGGTGACTTCACTGATGATTCAAGGGTATAAGTAGGTTGCGGGCGCGCAATGTCAGGGCAAAAATAGAGAATACTGCGGTGAACAGATCAAAAAAGTCCCTCCTTTTCCAGCTCATTGAGGATATACCTTTGTTGGAGAGAATACATTCACTCTCAACAGGGCTGGTACAGGCTTCCGGTGAGAAGAGTGGATTCCTCCCGAGTCCCTGGTGAGCCAGAACAACTGAAAAGCAATACCAGCTCGCCGAGGGTTCATCCTCCTCATCGAGTTATGTTGTAGTAGAGACCGGTCCAGCTCGTCATGGGGGATACAACTTGACAAGCTACAATTCTTAGTAATAATTCGCGAATCGGTCAAACGACCCCCCCAGCCCCCCACAATTGAAGGAACACCTTCAAACCACTTGACTAAGACTAATGCCATGGCATCGCGAGCCGGGTTGCGCGACTTTCGAGTATCGCCGTTCAAGTTTTGGTGGAGGCGTTGAATGGGGTACAACGGCTTCCCTCTTAACATTTAAATTTGAGGCTCGAGCTGGTATGATCTGTGTCAGCTTGCCAAGCATGATACATCCTTGTTCAGGTGGCATAGAGTACAGTGCGGACATATTCTGCTTGGCAAGCTCGGCCGATAAGTCCTCCACAGCTCGATGGGCAGGATACACCTTCGGCGAGCTGACACGGCTTTGACCGGCTCTCCTAAAAGGCATCCTCCTCACTGAGGGCCAGTACCAGCTCTGTGAAGAGGTTTCCTCTTCTCCGAGGAAAACATCTTTTACTTAAACTTGCATGTATAATAATTATCACCCAGCTGGTAGCACCTGCCGGCCTAGCATGTACTCCAAGAGAATTAGCTCTCGCCTTTCAGCTACTGCCCAAGTCAAAAATTAATGCCCCGTTCCCAGGAAGGATTGAACACTTGACCTGGACTGTTGATGGACTTTCTATTATAGTCGACTCTCCTCTGGCAAGCCAGATTGTTGGACGTAGACGAATCCATCAGGGCGCTTACCGATTGCGCTACGGGGCCGCTGACTGTCTTGGTGAGGCATGGATTTAAGTAGGTTGCGGGCTATATTTTAGGACAAAAGATAGAATAGATGGTACAATAATTTACCGGTTAGTCGTGAGTCGGCGTGAGGGCTGTTTACAGAGGCGACTCATGACTCTTTTACGGCCTCTGAAAGCTGGGAGATCAAGCCAACCGTTAAAATGATTCTACTGATTGCAACCTTGTACAAAATATGTTGTCATTTTCTCATGTAATCGAATAGTAAGAATAATAAGAAAAAAAAACGCAACAAAAACAGAAGTTGATTGAGAAGAAGTCAATCATTTCAAAAACAAGAGCAAGATTGAGAGTAGAAACCTAAGCATGAAGCAAATGAGAAGGAAAGCAGGGTGTAATATATTCAAGAAAGCAAATGTTCATCATTTTTGTTGGTGAGTTGGATTTCCATCTCTTGATGACCGATTGAAATCAAGGACTTATTTTGAGCAGTTTCAAGTACTTATTTAACATTTGCTAAAAATCAATCTGTGTATGATTGATGAGAACAAAAATATCAAAGATAGTTGAGGATCAAATGGATCGTGGGAATTACCAGTCCAAAAGATTTGGTGAAAGACCTTTTGATAATAAAAAGTAAATGAGAGACAAACCTTCGCCAACAACACTAACAATCCATATTTTCTTTCAATTCTTCTTTTTTGCACTGCTTTTTCTTATTCTTTTTCACAAAGAATCACTTTTTCATCACTCATAGTTATAAATATTTTTCATAAAATATTCATTCTTGTATTTTTTTTTTTTCAAATGCATGTATATACACACTAGGGGGTATCAAATATAGCAAATCCACCTTTGCAAACCCGTCAATTATTTTTTTGAAATCCACGATTATTAATTGACGGGTTTCCAAAATCCACCTCCATCAACCCCAACGGGTTTTGAACAAAAAAACACACATCTTTTCACCCAAACCAGTCAATTAAAAAATCCCATTTGTTTCAACTCATATCACTGCCAAACTCCACTCGCACCACCAAACTTCACCTCATCAGCACCGATCATCCCACCACCAAACTGATCATCTGACCACCAAACTTCACATCATCAGCACCGATCATCCCACCACCAACTCATCATCTTCAACACCAAGATTGCCTCCACTCAAGTCCTCAAAAGCAATCATGCCCAAAGTATCTCGAAGAAAGAAAATAATCGAAGCATCCAATGTTGCTGCAATGGCCATGATGGACGATTCAGATTCAGATCACGACTCAGAACTTGAAGAATTTTACTTTTTCTCTATGAGTCAGCTTCAAAAACGATACCTAGTAGCTCGAAACTCCACGACACGATTTGATCCTCGTTATGACTTGTCTGAGCTTCAAGAACTTCCAGAATTAAGCTTTGTGCAGATGTTTCGTATGACTTTTCCTTGCTTCCTCAACCTGGTACAGCTCATCGAACAAAACCCCATCTTCTACAACAACTCTCGTAATCCCCAAAGGGATCCACCAATCCAAATTGCTGTAGCAGTATGTCGTCTTGGATCGAATGGAAACGGTTCAGCTATCCACAGGCTCAAAAATCTGTTTCAAGTTGGATTTGGAACGATCGACCTGTATACTAGACGAGTCATTCATGCTGTTTATGGATTACGATCTTCTTTAGTCACTTGGCCTACCGAATCTGAACGAATAGAATCATCTCAGGTCATGCGAGAGGAAGGATTCCCTGGCTGTGTGGGATTTGTAGATGGAACGACCATCCCTTTGAGTCAGAAGCCCCCCAAGGATGGGCAACATTACTTTGATCGTAAGAAGAGGTTAGGTTTTTGATACTGCTGAATTATATAAAAAATCTCCCTTGTTGATTGATTATTATTTTCTCTTGGCTGCTTGGATCAGATACTCCATTTCAGTAACGGTCATATGTGATATCAACAAAAAGTTCATTTCTTATCTGGCTGGATTTCCTGGCTCATCACATGATGCTTATGTGTTTTCGCACATGCAAGTGGCCCAACAACCTGAAAAGTACTTTGATCGAAAGCAATTCCTACTAGCAGACTCAGCCTACACCAACGATCGTTATGTTATCCCTGCGTTCAAAGGCAAGCATTTGCTCAAACGTCGGAACATCAATTTCAACTACCACTTAGCACAATCTCGAGTCAGGATTGAACATGCCATTGGCATTCTCAAAGGTCGTTTTGCAAGCTTACGAGAAATTCGAACTCAAATCCGTAATGCGGAGGAGATGAAGGGCGCTGTGAAATGGATAGTTACTTGCATTGTTCTACATAATCTGCTGGCTGACCTCAAAGATCAATGGAATGATCTTTATGAAGATGAGGCTCCTGAAGACAGTGAAAGTGACTCCGATGATGACGATGTTCCAAATTATGATCTTAGAGCTAAGATGCGTGGAATCACACTGGCCCACTTTGCGTAGGTAAGTCTTTTCATTTGGTTTTGTTGGGCAAGTCGTTAACAAACTACATGTTGAAGCCCCCGAAAGAATTTTTTTACCGCCTATTTCACCCAGGATTTTTTTGACTCTCCATTTCAAATTCTACTCGCCAGATTTCACTCCCCAAAATCACACTCGATTTCAATCCCAAATGACGAAATTTCATCCAACCCACCTGCCCATTAACCCAATAAAGAATCATCCTTTGGTCATTCAACCCCCAAAAGATTTTTTTACCCCCCCCATTTCATATTCTGGCCTCCTGATTTCACTTCCCAAAAGAAAACACTTCAATCGCCAACACCTCAAAAATCACCCTCCGCC